AAATGGAAAAGTGTTGGTAAGGTTGCCGATGGTTTCCAGACCATGGTTGTTCTTAAGTGCTTGCCGATTGCTGAATAACAGTGTTCATCAATATGCTGAAATAAGTGTCAGCTGGTGTAGCCAGCATACTCTGCATCCCACAGATCACATTGATAATTACACACAATGCATTGTTGGCTAATTATAGGTGGTTTGGGCTCACACATCTTGAGGTCTTCACATGTTTTGCTACTCTTGAACACAGGTTGGAGAGTGTGATCGATTTTGTTGCTTAGATCTGCTTAGAATGACCATGGTCTGGAAACCAACGGCGACTTACCGATAACTTTTCTGATGATGACATGGAGTCATCGAAACGTTGTGTAAAACTTCTTTCGCTTATTTTTATCCTGATACTATACTCTTTATAACAAAACCAATTTGCTCTAGATGCATGTGCAAATTAGTTATCATTCATGTCGTCTATATATTAGGTGGGAGATACAGTTCATATAGGATCACACCCAAGTGTTGAGTGCTTCTCCTTGTGGAACCATGTAAGACGCATACATTCTAGCATTGTTAGTGTTCTACACTATGTTTCCACACAGTTTTTTACATGTCATGTGATGTGACGGAGGACGGCAGTTATTTTTCAGGTAGTACCACTTCTCCCTTTTCAGTGAAAAACTGAAACACTACTGTGGCTGCGTATCTTACCCATAGGTCAGTTCATCAAATATCTTATCTGTTGTTTTAAAACCAGAATAGTGTGTTTGTCAGGGTTCAAATAAAGAAGGGAAACGTATTGCTTCTCCTTAGTGGCTTGTTTATTTCTTCCCTTAATATTTGCGTCTGTAAGAGCTGGGACCAAAAAGTTCCAGAGTTAGCGGCATTAATGCTTTTCAAATTGTAAATTTGTGACAAAAGAAATCAGGAAAGTACTCAAATTTTGCTGCAGACTCTGTGGCACCTAATGAAAGTGCAAATTAATCAGTCTTTGAGGAGACTCGTTCACCACTGTAGGATATAATCTCAATAGCGATTGATTCATTGATTGGTATTGTTTATTATCAATTGTTATCAGAAATTATTTTTGTCCTTTTACAAGTTGCACTGATAAAATGTTTGACGAAATTTGTCTGTAATGGTTTTATTGATCAATAACAATTTCTTAAAACATGAGCAGGCAAATATTGACGTTAAAAGCTGACATTTCGGCGTCATTGTGACACCATTCTCAAGGCAAAGTGAATAAATAATGCAAAGATTTGATTTCTATACAGTCTCTACAAATTAGCATGATAACAAAGGATCACAAGTTCTTCAAGTTAATACCTTTGCGCGATTTGAGTCCCTTTGCACGTTTAGGGATGGTTTAAGTTTTCTTACAAAAAGCATCTCCTTAATTAGGCAATCAAGTTTGTTAGAACATTTAGTAAGCACATGAATTTGCATATCCTGCATCACACAGGTTACATTAAAATTTATAAACTAGGCACTGAAATTTATAAACCAGCCACTGTTAACCAACAATGCCTAGTTTATAAATTTCAATGTATCCTGTGTGATGCAGGATATGTTGGTTACACTCACCGCCACCTTCACGAATGCGTCGATGGACACAAACAAAAATTGTTCTTACAAATTTGATTCACTTGAAGAACTTGTGATCCTTTGTTGTGTTCGAAAGAACGCAGTTCTAATTGCATAATGCATAAAAATTCAAGACCTGTGAATCTATCTATCTATCGGGAGACACCAATTTGGACCCCCCCCAAAAAAAACAATTCTTCGGGGCAAATGACGTCATGTCCATGCTTGTTGCGTCTCCACGTGCTTGTCGCGTCTCCATGTGTTTATCTGCTGTTACCAGCAAGTTGCGTATTGGAAGTTTGAAGTTAGAGTTATGGCGTTAAATGACCTTGTAGCTAAGATTTATCAATGTGTTTACGAAATGTGTACGACTTTTGGGACAAACACAAAGTTGCAGTTTGGCTGCCTGTTGTCTGCCATCTTGTCTTCGACCAAAAACCAACACTGCTTTGTGCGGAATAAATCGATGGAGGAGATGTGTCGTTTCACTTCACTGGCTTTGATTTCTGTGCGCAAAATATATTACTTTAACTTACTGAGTTGTGTAGCAGATGGCCATGATTCGAGGTTATAGAACCATCTTACCGAGTTGTCTAGCTCATTATAGCGGGTTAAATGAATGGAAACAGCTGGAAAAAGAAGCCGCAAATTTAACTAGAGAATGTTGCTATGTAAACAAACACCTAGAAAGAATGTTCAGTAGTTCATATAGTGTGATCGTCCGGGTGAGGGTAGTTCTGAAAAGAACTGTTGTTGGTGACTGATGTT